GGAAACACCAATATGCTTTCAAAGTCATACAGAATACTTATATAGAAATGAAGACAACAAATGCTATGATTTAAAAATGATAGAAAATATTTGTAGCTCCGGTGGTAGATGTTGGTGGTAGTTTGTTCTCTGAGCTTGCTGTTTAACTTCCGAATTTGATGAATTCATTGAAGCCTGATATTCAACCAATCTATCTATTAATAAACATGTTTATTTGGAGTCAGCCTTCAAATCCATATAAATCGTGCAACCAACCGATGGCACCAATCACTTCTTCACTGGGTGACCTTCACACAAACTGACCAGCCGGTCACATCATAGATGCAGTGGTGGGCTGCTGCCTGGTCACATGGGTTCGGGCGAACCCGCAGTTCTGACCACCCACCCACCTGCCCCTGCACTATCCTTTCCATATATAACTAACTTTCTGGCTTGTTCCCCCCACCCATGCTGCCCAGCTGAGTTCCATGTTGCTGCTGATTAGCTGCATGTTTGAAGCTCTGTTTCATTCCCAAAGGGGCACGCACTCACACAGTTGGTAATGTAAGTGCAGCCCACTTCTGGATAGATGACATGGCATGACCAGCCAGTCACACAACAGGTCACACAGCATGACAGGTCACCCAAAATGACCAGCTGGTCACACAATAGGTCACATGGCCTGACCTACCAGTCACACAACCCACATGACATTTGATATCAATAAAAGTGGTGAAGAACTGAAAAAGTTCCTCTGAGGATGTCACGTAGCCTGGGGACAAAACATTTGGAAGCTACACAGCAAGCTTGGAGAACAAACCACTAACGACAAATGACATGATTGCTTGCATCCTTGCTTCATTTAAATAAATCCTGTTTAAATGCACCATAATAAGAACAACACGAAACTGATGCACCCAACTATTTACAATATTCCTCCTTCCAAGTGACTTTTAAAGAATCTGGAGATTGCTCCATTAATTTAAAAAATATTTGTACAGAAAGTAAATACAACTACTTCAGACAATATATCCTGAAAAAAATCTGTTATTAAGTGTAGAGGGTAAAGAAAATGACCCTGATGGAGATATACAGATTCTATTGCCAAGGCAACAAGGCTAGAGCAGTTTTAAGCCCACAGTATCCTGATAACATTCAGAAGTGGTAGACAGGTTTGAAAAATTATATCTATTCAATCTCAATAAAAATAGTTTTAGATATTCTGTGGAGTTGATTTCAAAGTCTAGTCTTTGTAGTGGGGCTGACATCAATAGGGGCACTGAAGAACCAGAATCTGAATTTACTTGATTTTACCTTATTAATATGTGACAGCTAGAATCCATGGCCAATGGAGCTGCTCCGCTGACTCTACATAACCCAATAGTTCAAAGAAGACAGACATAATTAGATTTAGTTATCACTTCTCCTTTCCCTCTTGAAAGATTCTAGCATCTAACTAAACAGAGGAATAAAATCTTACTAACAATTCTTCAGACAATTATACTTTAATTGCTAGGATCTTGTAGTCAATCTATAATCTAGTATATAACTTCTACAATCTTTTTCAGCTTTGTAGATAATCTTCTATTCAGTCACCATGTAAATCCTTGAACAAATAATGTATTTTTTCAGCTTGACTACTTGCCAAGATGTTAAAATGATTTGTTTCCCCCTTTCCTCTCCAATCCTTTTGTTTTGTGTATTCATCTCTTTTTCTTTCTGTCTTTTATAATGTTGTCCCAGTGTTATGTTTATCTTACCCCTGATTGTAAAAGAAATACTTAGAGCCTTTTTTTAAAGTAAAGAGCAGGACAAAAATGCTAGTAATAAATAAAAAGAAACTTGGTTTTGGAATGTAACTGTTGGTATTTATAGCAAAACAAAGATAAGGGCAGCAATAGCAATACATGCAATGTTTTGAGTTCAGAGCAAGATTCAACACATTTTCTTTAGCTTCTTCCCAAATACCAAACGTGGTTCCAATTCTGTTTAGTTTTCAGAGTTATCATTCTGAGAACAAGCCTTATCCTTTCATATTATTTCTTTCCATCCTTTTGTTGGAAAAGAAAGAATAATGAAAGTAAAGAAGTCTGTAAGTTATTACTTCTGGAATTTGTTCCAATTCCTTTACCAACACTGGACATAGGAAACATCTATATTTTTCTCCATGAAATAAAGTAATATTTTGCTTTTGCACACTCCTGCACATGTCCTGCAAATCACAGACTGGAAATGCCTTAGGAATCATATTTAATTCATCATTGACCCACCCAGCAATCAGCCTGAACTCATTCTTTTTGCTTCAATTTTCAAAGGAGGCTGCTGAATAATCAATAAATGACATATCATAAAGAGGCGTGGTTAGGGGCATGAGCCTACTCTGATCTTATCAGGTATCTGATCCATTGTAGGCGCACACATTCCTGTTTTCTGGGTGCTTAATTTTTCAGTAATTTGCCTTTGGCAGTGGGAGAGTCATACTTTTTCACTGTACGAAACATGTACCTCTCCCATTTCTTTTCCCAAACTGTAGATGGCAGGGGAAGAGGAGGGTCTTCTGGTGCCAGTTCTCCCAGGAAAAAGTCTACAGAGTGATGATTGAAAAAAAATATTTCACTGCTTTCCTCCAACAAGTTGCTCTTTTGTCTTACAATAAATTTGCACCTCTACAGATTGGACACTGCAATGTCTACTCAATGGAGAGTATTTTCATACGCATTCAGTGGTCTTTTAAAAGAATTACCCCAATAGCTTTGGTTCTGCAGTTCCTACTCAACAATAGGGTTGGACTGCTGTTCCATCTGTCCGCTCCCCTACTTCACTTGGTCTTAGAGACAACCTTGGGAATTTTTAAAGAGAGAAACTTGAATACCAGTGTTTTATTGTGAACCACTTCTATACAGCAAGTTCAACAAAAGGAAGGAAATGATAGATAAAATAAAACATCTTCATAGGTGGCTTAGGGATAGAAGTGGCCAAACTGGCACTAAGCTGCAAGTGATTCAGTGGAACAAGCAATTATTAAGCATAATAGGATAATAATGAAACACGGAGTAAAGGGCCATGTTCAGCAAAATCCAACAGAGTATGGAGGTTGAGTTAGGATAAGGAAGGCATAGGAGTAGGGGCATGTGACAAGGGGATGAAAGAAACATGGTGACCAAGAGTGATTTAGATTGCATGGGGGCATGGGAGAAGTAAAAACTATGTATTATAGTATATGTTTGGGAAAGATGCTCCTGAAATAATATAAGAATATAAGTAGCAACACAATGGCATGGATGCATCTTTATGTCCTGGGGTGGGAGTGACCAAGACAGCTGGAAGTAATCTCAAACAAGATAAAGCAATAGATTTTTTTGTGACTGAAGTGTTTCATGACTGGGCATGTCTACTATGACAGCAATTTTGTGAATGTCCAATTCCTGCAACTGCATTTTAATATTTTCTCAAAATGCCTTCTGTGCCCATGGCCCCAAAAGGGTTGGAAGCTCCTGAATATTTAAAGTTCAACAGATGGACAGGACAGGAACCAGTATAAGGTGATATATTATTTATCTGCAACAATTAGTAGACATTGAAGGGGAAAAATAAATTACAAGCACATCATCTTTTGTTTATATGAATTTAGTGTGTGTGTGTATACTGCAGTACCAAAGTAAACAGACTCATATGGATAACCAGTAGCATTTAGTTTTCTATAATTCTAAATATACCAGTGGCACATTATATTCCGTAAGGGTTGTGGCACAATTTTATATTCATAGCATCTGTAAGATTTTCAATCAGTCTGAATAAACAAAGAACAAGATATTCCATTAAATCAATGAGTTATCAAAACCACTACAACATTTCCAACTATCTGTTCACAGGCTGTCGAGTTCAAAACTTTCATATAACCATAATGCCAATTTTTATTTGTATACAAATATGCCAATAAACATACCTGAATTTAGCATATGTGCATTCTCATTAATACATCTCTCCCTTTTTTTTACTGCAGTTCTATCATGCAAACAAAGGATTATTGAAAGTATGTGATGGAATTGACTGCCTGAATCTCTTAAGTGATTTTGAACTCCTGCTACAATACTATAGATTGGAACAACTGCCCTGATCTGACAGGATGCCAATCTTTGCTATAAAACTGCAGGCACATAATTCTTAATACTCACAAGAAACAAAGTGGACAATAGCAGCCATAGATTGCTTTCTTAGAAAAATCAAGATTGAAAACCCGAGAACAAGCAGAGCTCAGAGGCAAAACACTGCATCTTTCTCCCCCTCTTTCAGTGACAAGGCAAACCCACATTTAAATCACTGAACTTTATATACCCTATTTATATCCAGCCTTCCTGCTAAAACAAACAAACAAAAAACCCTTCCTATCCAGCCTGCAAGATCATCACCGAAGTAGTAACCTAACCGTAGGGAAGAGCCAAAGAGCAGCAGGTGCTGTTAAAACCCAGGGAGATTTTTTGCTCCTGTGTGGATGCTGCAATAACAAAAGAATGCAAAGAGGCGCACAAGGGTGAGAGAAGAAGAAGTAGGTCTCAGATGCGCAACCAACGTCGGTCACAAGTTGGGCAGCAACGGCACACTGACACACACACACACACAAAACACAAACACACCCCCTCTGACCTGGAAGGCAGGACGGCAGGGGACGACGCGAGAAGGCAGGCAAGGTCACTAGCGAGAGGAGAGTTAAAGAGCCTCGTCCTTCCGCCCGTTCAGCATCCACGCAGCCCCACCGAGGCTGCCTTTCTCCTCCCCGTCGCGTCGCTTCCTCCACTGGCGCCAGTCCCTTCTCCCACCCACTCCTTCAAGATTTCCCACCCGCCCCGACGTCCGATCCCCAGAGGCCTCCCTCGGGCCTTCTGCATTCCCCCTAACTCCTCCTGCACGGCTTTCCCAAACCGCTTCTTCAGCGTCGCCACCTCAGCGAAGCCCTGCCTCGGCGGCCAGCAAAAAGACCCGCCGGCTGCCGGGAATCGCCCCACACCAAAGGAGAGACTCACCTATAGGGCGGGCCTTTCCCAAGCCGCCGACTCTGAAAGAAAATCGGGGTGAGGGAGGGAGACGCACAAAATGGCGGCAGGAGCTTCCCAGGGGTGTGGGAGAGGAGGAGGAGGAGGAGGAAGAAGAGCCCGTCCGCGGCTTGCGGCCACCGGCGCCCACAAACGCGGGCCCGTGGCCGGCGGGTTGCTCTGCTCGCTTCCTAAAGACCCGAGTGGCGGCGGGCCGGCTGTGTGGTTGTCAAGCGGCTTCGCCAATCGCTGCCCGGGAAAAGCGGCTCCGCGGGGCCCGGCGACGAGGCTTGGGCGGGGTGACAGCGCAGCCGCCTGAATGGAAAAGCGACGAAAGGGGCGGCAAGGGCGGCCGATGGCTGCATAGAAGAGCTCCAAGGAGCGGCGTTTCCCAGGCGTTGGTGGTGGCTGGACCGGAGCCCAAGTCTAGGCAGAACAGTGGATGGGGCGGCGGCGGCAGGGATTGGGTTGGGAGGCAGGCAGGACGCGGCTTCATGGGAACAGTCCAATAAAAGAGCAGCTCCCGTTCGTTGGATCCCTTTGCCTTTATCTCTCGCCACGGATCTGTTTTCGGCCCCTTCCCCCCCAGAAAGGTGCGAAAGAGATCTTGGCCGGCTGGAACGTGTCGCTTGGGAAGGCTCCTCACTGCAGGGATCTTGATTTATTTAGGGTATTAGCCGTTCTCCAAAGGACCCCGGGGGAAGCTTGCGTGAATGCGAATAGCAATAGCACTTAGACTTATATACAGCTTCACGGTGCTTTACAGCCCTCTCTAGCGGTTTACAGAGTCAGCCTATTGCCCCTAAAACTATCTGGGTCCTCATGGTACAACCATGGTACAATGCAAGAAATATCCGTGGGTTAAAAACGAAATGGGTGATGTGCCACCGAAGTGGGCACTAGGCAATCTAACCGCCGTGCTAAACCGAGTTTCTCCTGCCATGGAGGAGGGAGGGTTAAAAAAAAAAAAGTCAGGTTATGTCAAACAAATCTCATTTACGAGGCGCGGCGCCACTTTTAAAGAGGTTTTGCTTCCGATACCTCAGATCTGGTTAAAGGATGCAGAACCACAGGGTAGAGGATAGTTGACATGGCTGGTTAAAAAAACAAAAAAGGTGATCCTTTTGATCCTTCCGTACCCTAAGTTTAGGATAGCAAAGCAATCTCTTAGAACTCAATTTTGCAAACTTTGTTAGTGGGAAGCAAACAGACTTGGCGGGGAAACTGGAAAAGTAGGCAGCAAAGGTGACACACCTCTTGTTTCTTCCCACACAACTCCTTTATTAAAAAAAATCCAATTTGAAGTTAGTTTTTGTAAAAGAAGGGCCGTACATCTGTAATTATATAGACTCTAGTAAAGCTTCAAAACAGTTTAAAAGGAAAAGCTGCAGAGATGCACAAAACACAGCCATTGCCATTTATTAACTTTACCAACCCACCCCTCATCCATAATATTTTCGCTGGATTACAGTTTTTTCTTCCTAACCTGTGTTTATCTGTGGTTTGGGGGACAGAACATTTTAAACATGGGGGTATGGAGTGGTGTGGATATTACTTGTATTTGTTTTGGGATGGGATTTTTTGGGGGGGAGGGGGGAGTTGTTGCCTTTTTTAGAATCCGTACCTGACATTTTTCTCTTAGTTGTGTAAAATTATGCATTTGGCCTCAAAAAAAGGGACCAATTTTCATGTGAATTACATCGAAATTTGGAACTTGGGGGGAAAAAACCCAAACCCCCAAATCCATTGCAGTTTCACTTTAACCTATCCTGTTCAATCAAGAGTGTCTTTTCTTAAGATGTTGCATTCCATTTAACTGTGTTTCCTATGCTTTGAAAGGTAAGGTAGCCTTCCATTGCCATGCCCACTACATGTGTTCAATTCCTATCAGGATATTTTGGAATTTTCCATCCTTTGAGATATTTTACTAAATATTTGTAGGTCTGCTAATTCTTTTGTGCATGTGACTAGCAAAGTCATATATAAGAAAGATATATAAAACTGATAGCTAAATAGTTCCTCTTCACACAGACTTTAAAATGTCCTGCAAAATAGCTGATCTGGTACAAGCCTTAAAATCTGAGCATCTTTTAGAGATTGTAGTAAACAGACATACTGTAGGTATTGTATCCTTTAAAGGTAAATCTGACATAAAATTATTTTTTTAAAAAACAAGTTTTATTAATTCTTCAAGACATACAATACATAAATACACAAAAACACAAAAACATAAAAGCATAAAAAAACTCTTTTCTGAAAATTGCTTAGTCCCGGGTTATAACTTTTGGTACAGACACAAATTCAAATTCATATTCCTTTTATATACCATTTCATATCTTATTAACATTTTCAATTTTCTATATAGCTTCTCCTCTCTTTTAAATTTTCTCAGTTTTATTTTATTTATCTCCTCAATTCAGATCATAATATTTATTATTCTTTGTCTGTTCTATTTCCAGCCATCCATTTATTTTTCTTCTTTAAAAAAGAAGAAAAACTTCTCCTGTACACTATATGGAGTATGATGCCTTTATCTCTCTCCCCTATATTTATAATACTTAATATAAAACACATAACTTACATTGGGATTCTGTCTGGTACATTCTAAAATTATACTATGTTATCGAAAATGATACAAATCTATTCATTAGCATTGATATTCATTTATATCTTGAACGTTTAACACATTACTTTTCAATTAAATCACATACTTTTATGGGAGCCCTATTTTCCATAGTTATTCCCCCCCCCCCACATCACATATTATAGCTCATTATTTCATTACGATGTTCCTCCTTCTTCTACTTCAAATCTCTCATTTCACAAAAAATTTCGCTAATATACCATAGTCTGATCATTAATATTAACAATCATTTATATCTTAAACATTTTATCCATTTCAATTAAATATCATGCCTTTGTGGGAACAGTTATGCTTTCCAAAAATTATTACCCCCCACAATCTTAAATCATATTTCATTGCAGTACTCCTTTTTTCTTAACAAAAATTTCACTAGTTTATGTTAAATATTTTATCACATTTTAAATTACATATTATTTCCAATTTTCTATGGTTATTTCTAAATACAAATATAAAAATACAGTCTTATGTACCTTTCTAGAATCCCTTTATCAATAAGGTTTATCCATTATCTCTAAAAAACTTTTGCTTCTTAACATCTTGCTCCCCACCATTAGGGCTTCTCATCCCTTCCTTTCTCCCTTGCTTCTTCTTCTCCTTGTCCTCTTTAACCTCTTGTCTCTCCACCTCCCTTTTATTCTGTTTTCCCCCTTTCTGTTGTTTCCTAACATAATGTCCCTTTTTCACCTTATTCTTCTCTTTTTGGGTTGTTTTTCCAGATCTTAGAGTCCTCTTTTCCTTTTTCTCTTTCTTTTTCCCTTCTCCAACCAAAGTCATTTGTTCATCAAAGATGGCTTCTTCTTTGTCCCCTTCATCCTGTTGTTCATTCTGTTTCACATAAGTATAAACCGCCATTTCTAAAAATTGAAAAATAGTGCCAAGACCATCTTTCCCTTCTTGTTTTTCTTTTTCATATTTTTGATATACAAGTTTCAATCCATCCACAAGTGATGCCATTGTGTAGAGAAAAAGTTTTTCCAGACAACCACCCAGATGTTTTAATCAGAAATAATTCTCAAAAGTTCCAAAGTCACCAAACAATCCAAACAGGCTGTTTCTTTTAAATACCTTCTTCTTCTTCACTTTCTCTTTCTGGAGTTAAAGTTTAATCACAAAGTTCCCTTTCAAATATATTTTTTGGAAGTCTTATTGATGTTTAGTAACTCTTTAAAATTCTAGGCAATCTTCTCCTTATTTTCAAATTTTGCTCCAATTTTTTCCCCTCTCCCTTCCCACTCACAGCCAAAAGGATTTTTTCCCTCCGCTGTCACTTTAGGAAGGAGAGTGGATCAAAGAAAAAAACTTTCCCTTTTAAAATATTCGCAGCTTGTAACTCTCACTAGAGACAATACATACTTAGCAACCTTCAAGATTCCAGGTCACTTTCTCTTGTCTTGTCCCGGTTAGAAGCAACTTTCACTATTCTTCCGACTTTCTCCCTCCTGCACCTGCTTGTCCGGCTGAAGATTTCTTCGTGGCGGCCATTGCTGACCGCCGTTCCTCCGCCTTGGGAAAAGGGGGTTTAGCCGGCTGGGGAGGGGGTCTGCGACACCCCCAAACCCCTTTCCAGATCCCCCCTGTATTCAGCTGCCTCTACAGGGCAGCTATATCCCCCAGATCCAAACGGATCGGGGGAACCTTGGCGGCGAACGCAGCAGGGTGTTGCAAATCCCTGCCGCCGCCGCAAGCTTGCAAACCGGAAGTTCAATCTGAAATAAAATTATTGAGGACAGATGTATACATTATCTCACAGACAGTGGAACTGCTCTGTTTTCCTCTCTAAAGTACTTTTCCCTTATCTGAAAATCTGAGGTACTTTGAGTTTCTGACAGCCTATAGGATATGCCTATGGGATATTTTGTGGAAACAAGTTGGTCAAATGAAATTTAAAAAGTCACAGTTAATGAATCTTTAGCAGTTTATTGTAGTGTATAAGCTTCTTACAGATCAATGTTTTGTTCCTATCTAAGGGGTTGGTATTTGAGACTTGGGTGCTCTTTACTTCATATAAGGTATTTTCTCATCCTGGGTATGATCTTTCCGTTTCCTCTCCTTTCTATGACTGTATTATCAGCTATTGTTAAATGCATATGGCTTGTGAAAAAACCTCAAGGATTCTTCTGGAAATTCCTATTCACCACACACTCAGGTCTAGGGTTTATTTTGTGTTTATCTATCAAACTAATTTAAATTAATGCTGAAAATATCTTTTAAAAAAGGATAGTTGTAATTAAGATGACTTTTTATGCTTTCTTTTTTAAATTTGGAGTTTTGAATATTTTTAAAGTAATTTTTTTTGGCACTGTATTCCGCAAATTGTATAGATGTATGAGATAACTGGAGCATCATCAATTGTGTTCAGATGCTGAAGACTGAAAAAATATAGGCAGTATTTAAAATACTTTGTTTGATTTATATCTCATCCTTATTGGAAATATGTGCTTTTGATGCCTGAATTTTTCTACTGATTTTTTTAAATAAAATTAATGAATGCTTTATGGTATAGTTTCAAGAATAAAGTTTCTTATACTAAACAACAGGAACAAAAATCTCTCAGCTTTGTCTTATCACAGTAGTTGTCAATGGAAAAGGCTCAGATGATTTACAGATAGTATGAATGTGTCCTGCT